TGGCCCGCGCCTTCGAGCTGCTGGAGCTGGCGGCCGTGCACCTGTACCTGCTGCCCTGGAGGAAGGAGTTCACCACCATCAAGGTAGGCGCCGGCGACGAGGATGGCGCTTTCTTGACCAGGCGTTGGGGGGAGGGGTTTCTGGGGTCCTCAGCCCCTGGTCTCGGGGGGCAGGGCGCGCTGAGGGGTCCTGCGTGTGTTGGGTCAGCTCTGGGCCGAGAGCCCCGTGGGCACTCCCAGCGCTGAGAACAAGGGGTGGGTGGAGACCACCCCCAGGGTGCCTGCCTCCTGGGTGGCTCCTGCCCCTTAAAGCTTCCTCACTGCCCTCCCCAAAGCCGCCTGGCGGCCCCAGGTGCCATAAAAATCCTCGGACAAGCCCACGGGAAGGACTCGAGTTTCCACGGTCGCCCTCATTCCTCCAGGATGTGGGCTGATCCCCTTGATAGAGAATGAAGCCAGGGGGCTGTGCCCTGTGAAAGCAGGCAGGGGCTGGGGGAGGGGGGGCAGACTGGGCATGCGCCTAGCTCACCCCTGGCCCAGGTAGGGCGGTTGTGCTGGGGGCTGGCCTGGCCCCTGTAGATGAGCAGCCGCCGGCAGAAGGGGGCAGGCGCTGGTGCTTAATTCGGAAGTGCAGGGAGGTGATGATGTCACTGGGCACGTGGGCGAGTGGCCTCCACCGGTTGTCATGGCAGCGGCAGCCTTTCTGGGGAGAGGAGCTCTGGAACCCACTGCTCACAGAGGACACAAGCTGGTCTGAGGCTCTAGGACTTCCATTCATCCATTCAGAGGGTAGGGTGGAGGGTGGGGCGTGCAGGGCCAGCCCCAGGGGAGGCTGAGAGCAGAAAACAGGCCTGCCCTTGAGGCGCTCCTGGGCCTTGGCGTTGGGCAGACCTGGGGGAGGTCTGGTTCTGCCTCCTCCTGGCTGCGAGGCGCTGGCACCGCTGTGAGCCGAGCAGGGCTCACGGTCCCAGGGCTGTGGGTTTTGGAGCTGCAGAGGGACCCAGCAGGTCGCCATCCCAGCAGGTTTTCTTGTCGTGCACACAACCCCGCCGTCCGTGAAGCCCTTACCCACCTGGAGCCCGGAAGGCAGTGGATTTCTCAGTGTGGGGGCTCTATTGTGTTCTGACCTCTGAACCGGAGAACGTACGCGTTTCTTACTGTGGTGAGGGGGCTGCCCTAGTCGCTGAGTCACTGGCACCAGGCGGCCATCCGGAGTGGGTGTGGCCGAGTGGCCAGGGCGGAGTGCGGGCCGGGCTGCTGCTAACCGGGCCCCCTTTGCAGACCTTCTCAGGGGGCTACGTGCACGTGCTGAAGGGTGCGCTGTCCGAGGACCTCCTCATCCAGAGCTTCCAGAAGATGGGCTACGTGCCCAGGGACGACCACTGCCTCACGGTGGCTGCCCTGCCCCCTGCCCACCAGCTGGTGCAGGTGGCCCTGGGCTGCTTCGCCCTGCGGCTCGAGTGTGAGATCCTGGGCGAGGTGCTGGCACAGCTGGGCACCAGTGTGCTGCCGGCCGAGGAGCTGCTGCAGGCACGGAGGGCCAGCGGGGACGTGGCCTCCTGCGTGGCCTGGCTGCAGCAGCGGCTGGCCCGGGAAGAGGAGCCGCCGCCCCTGCCCCCCCGGGGCTCCCCTGCCGTCTTCCGGGCCCAGCTGGACCTGTACCGGGACCTGCAGGAGGATTCGGACTCGGACTCAGACGACGCCAGCCTGTACGGAGGGCCCTCTCCAGGCCCAGGCTCCCCCTCCGTGGAGCCGGCCTACCGGCCGCTGCCTTGGGAGCAGAGTGCCAAACTGTGGGGCCCTCAGGGGGAGGCCTGGGAGCCCATGGAGGAGGGGGAGGCACTGCAGCGGGTCAGCAGTCCGCCCCGCAGTCCGCCCTACGGGGCCCTGGAGGAGGAAGAGCCGGAGCCCGAGGCCTTCTCTTTCCTTTCCCTGCGCCGAGAGCTGCTGAGTCGGCCCGGGGACCTGGCTGCTCCCCCAGCCCCTGGGAGCCCCAGCCCCCAGCACGTGCAGAGGCCCATCGCCGAGCCCCCTGGCTACCAGGTGCACAGCTGCCTGGCCCCTGGGGTCCTGCCCACGCGCTGCTGCGACACATGCCGCCAGCTGCACACTGCCCACTGCGCGGCCCTGCCCGCCTGCCGTCTGGGCCACGAGCTCCGCGCACTGCTTGGCGACGCCCACCAGCGCCTGTGGCTGCAGCGCGCAGAGGTGGACACCCTGCTCTACGACAGCCCTGGGGCCCGGCCTTAGGCCCAGCCAGGCCCCTGGTCAAGGGCTTCCCCAGTGTTTCCGTGGTGCTTCTCTGCCCTTGTCCCTTCTCAGCCTCGGCCACTGCTGCCCTGGACAGAAGAGCCCAGGCTCCACAGGTGGACGGGGTCTTGCCTCCCATGGAACGTTCCCCTTACCCAGACCCACCCTCAGACCCATGCCTGACCGTGCTGCGTGGAAGGGCCTAGCCCACATGACCGAGTCAAGGCACCCGGGCCTGTCCCCATGAAGGACCGCCCCCTCCCCACTGTGGGCCCCATGGTCCGCCTGGAGCCCGATGCTCCCTGCAGTTCCCATTTGGGACATGTTGCCTCCCTCCAGGTGTCCGGGGGGCACCCCACCCAGGTGTCCAGAGGGCTCTGCCAGGTGCGTGGCTGACCGGGCTGTGGAGACCTGGCCCCTCACTGGGTGTCACAGGCCAGCACTGGCTGGACATGTGCCCTGGTCATAGCTGTGCAGGAAGCTGGGTCATGGATGGAGGAGAGATGATCTGATCTCAAACTGGAGAGGCGGTGCCCGAGCTCTGGAGAGCAGGCAGCAGCAGGCGGGGCCGATGGAGCCTGGACCGGCTGTCAGTCACTTCTGGGCACAGCCCCCAGGCTTCCCATGAAGCCCACCCCAGGCCCAATGGTAAACATCTGTGCCTGCCACAGCCCTCGGTGCAGGTGCCACCCCCTGTGCAGCCTCTCCTTACCGGCCCCCGTCCGCCCCACCCCTTTCCCAGTACTTGTCATAGGACAGAACCTCCACACATTAAAGGACACAGAACTGCCTGCGTCTGTCAGGAAAGCTTTTATCTCAGTTCCTGTAGCACCAACCGTACCCTCCCCTGGGGCTCTGCCCCCAGGAGGGCATTTGCTCTGGTGTCTCCGAGTGGTCATGGCCTAGACCCGGATCCAACCCACACCCAACCCCTCCACACACCCCTAGCCAGCAACACCCCCAAGATGAGCCCGGTGGGTGCTTCCAGAGCTGCTAGGAGCCCACGGCGTGGCAATGGGCAGAACCTAGTAGGGCCCCAGGTGGGGCCACCACAGCTCAGGTGGGGCCCGGCTCAGGGTGCCCACATCCACATCACCAGTGCACACCCTGCTGTTCTGGGGCAGTGGTGGGTGAGGAGGCAGGAATCAGAGCGGTCAGCTGAAGCAGCTGGTGAGTCCTGGCCAAGGGTCCAGCTGGATCTCGGGAGCCGTCAGCCTGGCCGGCGGGGGCTTCGCGTCAGGGCCTGCAGCGCTTGCTCTGGCTCTCGGACACAGTGGGAGCAGCCCGCTTGTTGCGGTGGTGAGGGAAGGTGGGCATGAGCTCCGGCTCACAGGCTGCGGGAGGGGGTGTCAGCACTGGGGGCACTTGGCATTCACCTCAGGTCCCTGGAGCCCCCCCGCCACCTCCCTCTGCTCCCCTATGACCTGCAGACAGTATGTGTGCCCAGTGTCCAGCGGCTGCCCATTCAGGGCCAGCAGGCCACCTGGATGGGTCTGGGCTGGGAGTGCCCCCCACCCCCACATCATGGGCTGGGGCTTGAAGAACTCTGAGGCCGTCTCAGCAGCGCCCCCCACCCCCCCGAGAAAAAGGCCACCAGCCAAGAGCTCTGCAGACGGAGCCTGAGGGTCTTGGGGACTCACGCAGGGGCTTCTCCTTGAAGTAGGAGCTCTCCAGGCAGTCCCCGGCCGTCGCCCTGGGGGAGGGACAGTCTGCCGTGAGCACACCTTGCTCAGGCTGGTCCCCCTCACAGCTGCCTGACCCGGCAGCCCTGGTTCCCATCTCCCAAGAACAGAAGGTGGGTGGGAAGGGGGCTGGGGCCCAGAAAGTGATGGGAACCTCACAATGGGCTCCGTGATCTGAGTGGACAGAGACCACAGAACTGGGCACCTGGCTCGCCACACATGTGTCTGGGAGGGACCCCTTGGTGGCGGCACGGCCTGTGTTCTGAGAAGCCCTCTTCAAAGGGCTCAGGGTGCAGGCGCCCCCCTGCCCGTGGTCAGCACCTTTTCTTGGGGTCGTACATGAAGAGCAGGTTCAGCAGGCGCAGGCCGGCCTCTGAGAGCCACGGGAACCGGTGCTTCAGGTTGTTGTAGGGCTGCTTCCGCAGGCTGTACTGGCTGACCAGTGGCAGCCGGGAGAAGCCCTGCGGATGGGAGCAGAGCTGCAGGGGCAGGCCCAGCGGGGGCAGGAGGGGAGCAGGGAGGGGGAGGGCGGAGGCTGGATGCTCACCGGCCAGATGTTCTCACTGGGTGTCCCCAGCAGCTGTACGATCAGGTCCACCTGGTGGATCTCAGATGTGCCCGGGAGAAGGGGCTTGTGGGCCAGCAGCTCGGCCAGGACGCAGCCCATGGCCCTGCAGAGCAGAGCAGTGCCTCACCTCACCTGTTAGCACCACCCTGACGCGGCCCTGGGAGGGGCTGGAGCTCCAGAGGTGACATGGAGTGGCCACAAGATGGGCCCAGCAGGCCTCTGGTGACTGCAGGGCAGGGCCTCCTGTGGACCGCAGTGCTGGGGGCTTCCCTTGGGGATCCCAGGCGCAGGCCACCTCCCTGAGCTGGGAGCAGATGCCAGCCCCATCTCCCCAGACGGCGCCCACACGACCTCCGCCCTCACCACATGTCGATGCTGGTGGTCTGCGTGGTGGTGCCCAGCAGCAGCTCCGGGGCTCGGTACCTGCAAACAGAAGCGCCCACCTCACGCCCGGTGCTCCTGGGCGGCCACAGGACACAGCGGATCTGTGCAGCCCACCCACCGGCCACCAGTCTTTCCGGGAGCCCGAGACGTCCCGGGCAGCAGGACTGCCGACACCACCAAGCCCGCCTTCCTGGGAAGCTCTGCCCACGCGAGCAGCACCTGGAAACAGCTGCCCTTGCTGGACAGCTCCTGTGTGCATCCCAGACAGCACTGGGTCCTCGGGCAGGCCTACTGTCCGCGTCTCATAGACGGGGCTGAGTAACATGGCAGGAGGCATCCGACTCCAGTGTCTTCCCTTTAACCATGCCCCTGAGCTGCCTCTGGACACGTAGTGAGCAGCTACAGTCAGCCACGTGGACCACCGTCCTGCAGGCAGGGTAGCAACCGCCTTCCTGACACAGAGCCAGGCTGGGTGTCCTGCTGCCGGGGAGCTGCCCCAGACCCAGCCTCCAAGTGTGTGCAGCTCAAAGGCCGGCAGGGACACCCCAACACTCCCCTCCACCAGGCACACCCAGTCCCAGGGACTCACCACAGAGTGACCACCTTGGGCGTCATTGGCTTCACGGGGATGCCATAGGCCCGGGCCAGGCCGAAATCCGCTGTGACAGAGGCAGGCAGACAGGAGGGAGGTGTGTCACCCAGTGAGGGGCCAGCTCATAGCCTTCAGGGAGCTTGTAAGGACAGATCTGCCCTCCCCCGGCCCCCAGCAAGGTGGCAGGCACAGAGACACCTACCTCAGAGCCAGCACCCGCACCCACCTGTCTTCACGCAACCCTTATCGGTCATGAGCAAGTTGGAAACCTTCAGGTCCCTGTGACAGAAAGGGAACGTCAGGGTCCCAGGAAGTGACCGCCACCGGTAGTCTTGTCATCACCACGGTAACACTCGCAACGCTCTCCCACACATCTCCTGCGTGAACGTATTCAATGAGCAGGGCAGGCGGAAAAGGCAGCTGGACACCCGAGCGCTCAGGGCTCTGAGAAGTGGCAGAGCCAGGCCTCGCGCCCACATCCAACTTCCAGTCCTGCCCTCGCTCCCTGCCCAGGGCACAGGGAGCTGCTGCCTGCGGAGTCCTGCTCTGGGCTCAGACGGTCCCGTCCCCCCCCACCCCCCCAAGCCTGGGCCTTTCCTGGCCTGTGTCACCAGACCCCAGGCAGGCTCTCCACTGCGGGACTTCTCAGAGCCTGGACAACACTCACACCTCAGAGCAGGAGGTGTTATTTGGTCCTGATGCTTCCCCAGGAGCATCCAGACAACCCACTGCACCGAGCCTGTCTGCTCCTGCTCCTCTCCTGGACTCTGGGCAACGGCGCACTGGAAGCCGGGGTCAGTACAGGGTCAACAGCCAGCACAACGCCCAAGACCCCACCCTCCTCCAGGCTGATGCCATCCCAGCACCTGAGGCCCTGCCCCCATCCAGACCCAGGTCCCCGAGACTGAGCCCCTCTGGCCCCCGGAGCCCCCACCTGTGGATGATGAAGTTCTGGTGTAGGTACTGGAGACCCCGCAGCACCTGCAGCACGATGCACTTGACCTGCGCAGAGGGCCAGGAGGTCAGGGCGGGCCCTGTCGGGCACCAATGTGTTGGACAAGGACCCGTAAAGAGCCCTCAGGCCCCCCCCCCCCTCGCACCTGGGCCTCTGAGAAGGGCGTTGGCATGTTCTCCAGAAGGCTGGCCAGGTCCTGCTCACAGTAGCCCATCACCAGGAAGATGCTGGAAGAAGCAAGAGGAGCACGCAGGCCACCTCAACCTCCTCGCTTGGGGTGCTGGCAGAGGGCAGGGCAGGGCCCGTGCGAGGCCAGAATGCTCACCTCTCCAGGTGGTTCCCCACCACCACCTCCTTCAGCTCCACGATATTTGGATGGCGGAGGCGAAGGAGCAGCGTGATCTCCCGAAGGCTGCTGATGGGGACCCCTGCAACCGGACACGCTCAGCAAGCCCACCCGCAGACAGGACCCCTGCACCCTGCCCTACAGTCAGGGCCCCAGTGCTAGCTCAGGAGAACCGAGGCCGTCCTTCCTGCGTCAGATGCAAAGCAGCAGCTCTCCGCACTGACGGCTGTGAGCACCCCAGAGCCCTGCCCCCGCGGCAGCCCAGAGCCCTGCCCCCGCAACAGCCAGGGAGGGGAGGGATGTGCGCACAGGGGCTGCCTCCGGGCCTGGGAGGGGAAGGCCCTGTGGGGGGTGAGAGCTGAGAAAGATGAGGAGGGAGACGGAGGACTGCAGCCCAGAGGGTGGGGGTGACGAGCTGGGGCCCTCACAGAGCAGCCCCTCCAACCACCACGCAGACACTCCCGGAGGGCCGCCGGGCACTCAGTACCGGGGTCCAGTCCTCAGGGAGCCTCAGTCAACCTGCACCTTTCTGCCCCGCCCACTCTGAGCTGGCGTCCCTGCCCTGCTCACCATCCTTCTCCTTGTCCATCCGCACTTTCTTCAGGGCGACAATCTCGTCCGTCTGGGTGTCCCGGGCCCGATCTGGGAGGAAACTCATCCGTGGTGGAATGCACCCCGCTCCCGAGCGCACGCCCTTGTACCACACGGCCTCTTCCTGACGCCTGGGGCTCCCTTTCTCTCTGACAACCAGGAGCCCAGTTGCAACCCAACACCCATGGCCCCACTAGACACGTGCTCCTGGGGAGTCCTCACCTGCCTGGGCACAGGGTGCCTAGTTATAAAGAGCTCCCTCTAAGTCCCCCTGAGCGGGTGTGCAGATCACCGCTTGGAGCTCTGTTGCTACCATGTTCTCACACCAATCAGGTACTTTATCTACAAAGAACCCTTATTTTGCACAAAGATGGCTCCGCACAGCACTGTGCCGGCCTGTGGAGATACTCAGCAGTGGGATGCACAGCAGTGTCCGGCTGCTGCGAGCTCTTGGCGAGTTTTGCACTTTCTACTGTAACAGGGCCACCCATGGTTACACGGCAGCCACGACGGCTGTTCAGGTGGGTAATCCCTCGCACAGGCTTTCATCCCGGCTCCTTCCGGCCCTGACAGCCACTGCGGGGCTTCCCCAGGCCCGGCCTCCCACCTGGCCACTCACACACGATGCCGTAGGTGCCCTCCCCGATGCGGTTCAGCTTCTCGAACTCCTTCACGCTCCGGCACCGTCCCAGCTGTGAGAGAGAGTGCTGCTAGTGCGGGGATCTGGCAGCGGATGGAGCAGCTGAAGATGGGTATTTCACACTTTCTCTGCACCACTTAGGTCTCACCAGACAGAAAGGTAGCCACACACTTGGGCTTGTGAGATGAGAAAAGGGGGACGGATACTGGGCAGGCAACGCGCCCTTCCAATCCCACGGCCCAGGTGGACTTGTCTGACAAGGTGACCACCAGCCAGCTGTGGCTGAAATGGAAAGTTCCCCTCCTCAGGGGCACTAGCCACACGGGAAGTGTTCAATGGCCTCAAGTGGCTCATGGAGACCATACTGGACGACTCAGAGAACAGTCCCATCGCCACAGCAAGTCTACCGAGCGGCACTGGCCTCAGGTGTGCTCCGCCCATGGCAAAAGCGTCAGAAATATCGACCAGGGGTGGGGGGTGGGGGGGATGTGTCTGTGGCAGAGACTCCTGCCCCTGCACGCCGGCCTCACTGCCTCCCCTGAGCTGTGAAAGGCGGCCCAGGGGCCTGCAGCCCCCGTGGGTGGCTGTTTCCCAGCCTCCCTTGCAGCTGGGTGTGACCATGTGACTAAGTCCTGGCCCACCTTGTGCTAAACAGCCGCCCCTCTGGAGGGTCAGGGGAGAGAGAAATAAAGCCCATTCTGGGGTCTCTGTCCGAGCAGAGAGCTGGTACCCAACACACCCTCCTAGGCGGTCCATCACAGGCAGGCCGAGGGCGCACTCCGCCCCGAGGCTCAGCAGCACGGGCGCCCGGGGAGAACTGGATTCCAACAGCTCCTCCCTGGCCCCCGCCTCTTCGCTGACCAAGCCTCCGCCCTGAGGCTCAGCAGCACGGGCGCCGGGGAGAACTGGATTCCAATAGCTCCTCCCTGGCCCCCGCCTCTTCGCTGACCAAGCCCTGCCCGCAACGCGCCGCTGGCTAACGCCTGGGGGCCAAGCGGGGACTGGGGACGCTCCTCGGTGCC